CTACTTGTGAGGCTGAGGCAGGAGGACTAATTGAGGCCAAGAGTTAGAGCCAGTCTGCGCAACACAGCAAGACCTTGTCTCAAAGGAACAAAAACCAAAGCAAACAAACAACCCCTCCCCCAACTCCTAATCTACACCCCCCCCACACACCATTCTATCTGCCATCGCCTTCCTAGTCTCAGTTGTCTTCCCCAGTCCAGTATCCTTTCGGTCGCTCTGGTCACAACTTTATGGGTCCTCTTTGATGCTCCTCTTTCTCTCATGTTCCACATAACCTCTAAGCAACATCCACTGGCTCTACCTTCAGAATATGCCAGATTGACATCACTGTCTGTTCCACTCCAGCACTTGGGAGGCTGAGGCAGGCAGATGGCTGTGAGTTCGAGGGCAGCCTGGGCTACATAAGTGAGTTCATGGCCAGCCTGGACTATATAGTGAGATCCTGTCTCAAAGGAAAAAAAAAAAAAAGAATCTAGGAGCACAGGAACCAAGGGGTAACAGCAAGAGTAGTGACCCACTTACCTTCACTAGAGGACCAACTGGGGCTCTTTGGTACTGAAGGTCCTGGTCCTTGTCCCTCAGGGGTCTCACACTTGCCAAAAACAGTTGTACTTACTCATAAACCATGTCTACCTCCTGGGTACTCTGAGCCCCTCATCTAGGGACAAGCAGTTAAAAGAGGAGTCTTAAATAAAAGAACTCTTGGCCCCTTGTGGGAGCCAGCAGGGGTCTTTGGCTCTGATTATAAATAGGACAAGGGAGTGGGGTTGTAGAGGTGGTAGAACCCTTGCCTAGCATGTGTGAGGCCCTAGTATTGATCTTTACGTTTTAGAATTTTTTCTTTGTTTTACTTTTTTGAGACAGGGTCTCACTATGTTGTCCAGGCTGCCCTTGAACTCACTGGGTAGCCCAGGCCAGCCTCAAACTCACAGCGATCCTCCTGCCTCAGCCTCCTGAATGCTGGGGTTACAGGTGTGTACCACCGTGCCCGGCTCTATCCCTATTTTGGGAGAAAAAAAAAAAAATAGTAGGTAAGGCTGCTGTTATCCAGTGGGGGCAAAGGGGTACGTGTGGATCCCAGCTCACTCACTTGGGTGGTCTTGGAATCCTTGTTCTCACTTGTAGTTGTCATGGTAATGCGACCCTGGCTTGAGAAGGGCATGGAGACAGGGCCACGGGGACCCTGAGGAGGGGGTCCTCAGAAGTGCTGGCAGAGGCCAGGGCAGCCTCAAGTGGGTAGAGGAGGAGGCAGACGAACCTCTGCGGCAGCCCTGGGACCGACCACAGTGTGGCCGCTGCAGTCCGTCCCACTCTGTTCCTCTTCTGCTCTCTCAGGAAGAGCCGTGTGGGATCCCAAGGAGCTGCTCCTTGAATCCCCATGTGGTTTGGAGTAGACACCAACTTTCAAGGAAGAACTTGCTGCGCATCGGTGGCCAGGGCCATTAGCAGATGACCTGCAGTGTCACCGCCTTCACGTCTGCCTCAGCTGACCCAAGACCACACGCTTCCCAGGTCAGCTGGAATCTGGTGATCAGAGGAGGTGGGTACGAAGGCCTGATATCTACCCTCAGATGACAACAGTTATGCCAGGGCTCTGAGCCAGGTCGAAGGAGCAGGGTTTGCCAGGCTGCAGTGGAGTTCAATGTCTGTCTCAGTGTCTGTTTTCAGAGAGCCCAGCCTGTGACACCACCGTGGTATTTCCTCGGGGCTAACCCACTCCCCCAGAAGATGCCAGACTCTCTGGGAGACAACAAGGCCATGGAAAGGAGGCTCTGGGGAAAATGCATTTCTTTCTACTGCACTTGGTTGTTTTTTTTTTTTTTTTGTCTCTTTGAGACAGGGTCTTGCTGTGCAGTTCAGGCTGGCCTTGAGCTCACTTTGTAGCCCAGGCTGTTTTCAAACTTGCAACGATCCTCCTGCCTCAGCCTCCCGAGTGCTGGGATTACAGGTGTGCGCCACCATGCCCAGCTCTACTGCACTTGGAATGTAGCTGCCCTTCTCTCCTCCTTTCAACATTCATGCTATAAACAATGAGGCTCCCACGAGGTCCACAGCCTTGCTCATGTTCCAGGCCCTTCAGGAAAGAGCCAAGGATTAATCACTGTGCCATAAATGGGCCAGGCTCTGAGTTTTCTGCTCCCCTGTGCAGCTCTGAGGTTTAAGGTAGGGAGAGGCCGCCATTGCCGTCCCCGATGGTGTGAAAGGGGACTGAAGAGACAGGCACCCTCTCCTCATCAGCCACAGCAATTTGACCTATCGTGAACTGCTCACTCTGAGTGACTGCCCCTAAGGAGAGAGATACAGCCCACAATGGTGACTTTTTTTCCGAAGCTATCGCGCCGACAGGATCTCCGGGAAGCAAGTTCATAGAATAGGGGAGATGTAGACATTCGCTGGGGAGAGCTCTACCTCAGGACACGCAGAAAGCACGCAGTTGTCCCGCTCGTCCACCAGAGGGCAGGCAGCACCCGGCGAGACGCCCTCGGTTCCTCTTCCGTTTCTCTTTCCCGCACGCGCATAGCCCAAGGGCCCACGCCGCTGCCCGCCCGGGACGTCCCTAGCCTGCTGTTCCAACTGGCAACTGCTCGGACGGTTCTTTAGCTTGGCACTTGGTGCTTTATAATACCAGTTAACCAGTAAGAACAGACACTCCTGGATTTTTATTGTTCCTTGTACTTTATGAATCATCTTCACATACGTTATTCTAATTCGGTTTGCAATACAACCTGGAAAGATCATTTGTGCTGATGGCCATTTTTCAGAAGAAGTAACTGAGGCTCACACCTGGCCCAAAGTCACATAGTAAGGTATTGCTGCTGCCACTGTCACTGCCTTTTTTTTTTTTTGTCTTTTTGAGAGAGGGTCTCACTATGCAGTTCAGCTGGCCTTGAGCTCATCTGTAGCCCAGGCTGGCCTTGAACTCACAAAAATCCTCCTGCCTCAGCCTCCCAGGTGCTGGGATTACAGGGGTGCACCACCACACCCGGCTTAGATGTATACCATTTTAGAAATGCTAACTCTTTTAACCTAAAGAGGAGCTCGACAGGGTTAAAAAGAATTAAAACAAAAAAGCAAAACCACCTAATACAATATTTTAATTTCTTTTATCAAGAGGACCCTTCAGGTATCTAATTGACCATATTGTTGGAAAAAAATTTAAAACCATGGATTTTGTTACCATAATTCACATTTATTTGTTTTATGACATTTGTAATTTTTTGAACATTTTAATGTTACAATTTTTATATAGATAGCATGACTTGGTTATACTATGATTTATAGTGATAATATATCACTTATGTATAATAAGTATAAAGTTATTTTACAACTAAACCAGAGGGGTAGATATTATCCCTCCATTATAGATACAGAGAAATGCATTCTGAGGTTAAACAGTATACCTACAGT